TATTGGCAGTGATTATTAGAATCGGGAGCTTGTCTCAACGCTGACCATTGGAATTGAGAGGTAACCCTTGTCTCATGATTGATTTGGGATTTTCCCACTTGTTCTATAAATGACTCGAACCTAACTAGTTTGTACTAGTTCATGAGCAGGATAGATTAAGGGTACGACACCCCATGTTATTAGTATTAGAAAAAATTAGATTACACAAGTGAGTGAGTGACCTTGGCCCAATAGTTTCTCACAAATGAAAGGTTGGGTTAATCCGTGAAGGACGTAGCCATCGAATAGCCATCAGTTTCATGTTGAAGGTAACAGGAGGATATAAAGTTGGCATATGATTATGCATTTAGTCCCAACCATATGATTGTTAGTATTGTGGTCCGGTACGATTTAGGCTCTATTTGGTTCAAGGAGAGGGAAGGGGAGGGGAGGTGAGAGGAGGGAGGGGGAGGGGGCTCCCCCTCAATTTGGGGGGGGAGGTTTTCAAGGGGAGAGGAGGGAAGGGAAAATTTTAAAAATCTCCCCTCCCCTCCACCTAACCAAACAAGGGGAGGGGAGGGGAGGGGCTCCCCTCCATTCCTTTCCTTCCAACCAAACAATTCCTTAAGGGTGCATGGTTGGTATTATTGTGATCCCAGGTTGTGCATTATTAATACATACATACATACATACATATATATATATATATACATACATACATACATATATATATATATATATAATTATGTGTTTGAAGCCTGGTCACATGGTTGTTATTATTGTGGCCGAGGCTATACATTGTCATACATGCTTTATATATGTGTTTATTGCCAATTACATTCATTTTCGATTGATATGCAATTGTATAGATTATGTGAAACTTAATTACTGAGTTGTTATTATACTCACTCCTCTATTTAACATTTTACAAGGCTAGCTCTTATTAGAATAAGGGAAAGGCATATGAGGTTTAGATATTGGATTTTCTACTGTAATACTTCAAATACTTTTGACTAATATGTAATTATCATGATATTGCTAACTAGAATAATTATGTTGCCTACTTGCACCATTTCATTAATATGTGATTATTAGTTGGTGTTTTGATGCCCTTGGTAAGTTTGTTTGAGTTAAATATGCTTCTTCAAGACTAAAATGTGCTAGTATGTATAAGGCTATTTTGAGGGTGTAAAGGTGTAATTGGATAATTTGAATGATGATGACCTCCCTCTTTGTTTTTGATGAATTTGGCATTAAGAAGTGAAAGTATGATATGTGGTATATATGTATATTGTGGTATGTTGCACAGGTCATTTTAAATCACTTAAGTATGGTCTAGGTGGTTGTGTAGGCTAATGGCACTTGGGTTGGGTTTTAGACACTTTGAAAGTTAGAAATGTGAGAAAGTAGTAGTTTTGATTTTGAGTGTTCAACTTTTTGATATGATAGAATTTGTAAATGAGACTAGTGCCATTAGCTAACTCACTAAATGAGCTTTTTATGAATACCTAAATCAACTTAATCAAATGTCGGATAGAAATTTAGTGCGCATCAAAAGTTTGGGTAGGAAGTCTGCCATGACAGCTTGTTTTGTTGTTTATGTCATAGCATAAAATTTTATGCTACAGCATAATTGTGCCAGAATTAGTTTTTTTATTATTTTGACCCTAATTTGATATTATCTTACCTTGTATGATACCCATGCTTCCGTATACACGTTTTGCTCTGATTTTATAGCATTTTAAGTTTTAAAAACTTGAAATTCCATTTATAAAAATTTTACAAACTTGATAATTTATTTGGGTTATTCCCGTGATTATCTTAATTTTGTGGAGTTAATTGTGGATAAGTAAGAAAAACCTTACAATCACAATGATATTTATCATTGTAATAAAATCTAGACTATTCAAATTTTAATTTAGATGGTGCAGATTTAAAATATTATTATATATTTTTAATTTGTATTTATTAAAATAAAAATTATAAAATAATTTTAATAATTTTTTTATTTTTAATCTAATTTAAATTTAATTTAGAAAGTCCAATTTAATATTAAAATTTTTTTATAATTGTTACATCTTGACTATCTAGACGCACTCTGCACAGTCCAGATTTAACTTATATAGAGTATGTTTGAATAGTCAATATATATCAATTATAAACATTAAATTGTATTTTCCAAATTAAATCTAAATCATATTAAAAATAAAAAAATCATTAAATTTTTTTAAATTATTTTCAATTTTTATTTAATAAATTAATATATGATAATGCTTTAACTATGGACTATTCAGATATAAAAAATTATTAAAATTTTTTTATAATTTTTTAAATTTATATTTTAATAAATCTAATATATAATTATATTTTAAATATTGAACATCTAGATATAAAAAATTTATTAAAATTATTTTATAATTTTTTAAATTTTTATTTTAATAAATATAATATATAATAATGTTTGAAATTTAGATCATCTAAAACAAAATCTGAATGATTCATATCTCACTATAGAGTGATGTGTGATGAGCATCAAAACCAAGTCTTACGCGCACCAATGTTACTCTAACCCGCACCGCATGACACGTGGCTCGTGGTAGGCCAACCCTATGTTGGCCTACATTATCATCTATTTAATTCATCAATCACATGTTTCTAGATATATATTTCATCTGTTTTTATATATAAAATACTTTGTTTCAAAAATTTATTTCTAAATATAAAAAATATCAAAATATTTTAAAATAATTACATAATTTTATGATTGTCTTGAAAAATAGAAAAAGTATTAAGTGTATATTTTACCCATTACAGTCATGATATTAATTATAATATTATTAGAAGCACAACTAAAAAATCATTATAATTTTATTTGATTTCAATTAAATTAAAAACTTTTATTAATATACATAATTCAATTAAAAATATCTTATAGAAAGAGTACCTGTTAATATTACTACATTAGAACTCGTCCAGTTAGTAATTTTTTTGGATAGCTGAAAATAATATGATTAATACTTATGATAACTCAACAAATTCTGACTCAGACGTTGAATCTTATAAATGCTTTTATTAAAGTTTCTTGGACATTTGTTAGTAATTAGGAGTATCATTTCTGTTTTGTGTAGGAAGTAAAAGAGAATTAAAATCCTGTCAAAAGTAAGCAAAATTAACGTGAAGTCAAAGAAATTTAGTGTTCCTGGCATTAATGGCGCAAGCCTCCACCATCACCCTCCTGTCTATAAAATAAACCAGAACAGAGCATTTCTCAAGTCTCAACACACCCACTTTACATAGCCACTGCACTAAGCAACACACAGAATGAGTCGCCCTCATGTTCTGGTTTTACCCATTCCTGCTCAAGGACATGTCAATTGTCTGATGAGCTTCTCTCATAAACTAGCCCAAAATGGCCTTAAAATCACCTTCGTCAACTCAGATTACAACCACCAGAGAATGGTGAAGGCAATGTACTTGGATGAGACTGATGAGAGCTTGCCTTTCAAATTAGTGTCCATCCCAGATGGTATGGGACCTGAAGATGACAGGAATGACATTGCCAAGTTATGTTTGGCAATGTTGAGCACCATGCCATCTGAGCTTGAGAAGCTCATAGAAAAGCACTTGGTTCAAGGCAGTGATAGAATCACCTGCATAGTTGCAGATGTGAATATGGCATGGGCTTTGGAAGTTGCATATAAGCTGGGTATTAAAGCGGCTGTCATCAATGTTTCATCTGCAACTCTTTCGGCCATGAAACTTCATGTGCCAAAGCTTATTCATGATGGACTCTTGGATTCTGATGGTCATATAATTTTTCCCTTTCGTCTTTTTCATGACACTAGTTATTTATTGACATGCATATCTTCATTGCTTTGGAATTAGGGTATGTTGTTTTGCACATGTATTGACCTATCTTGATGTCTCCTGGTACTGCAGGGATCCCAATTGTAAAAGGGGAATTTGAGCTATCCCCAGAGATTCCCAAGATGAACGCAGCTCACATTCCATGGTGCCGTATAGTAGACTCGTCAACCTCCCAAAAGATTATATATGATTATATTACAAAGATCACAAGAGTTTCACACTTGACAGATTGGTGGCTTTGCAATACCATTTTTGAACTTGAACCAGGAGCTTTTTCTTTATACCCCAAGATCCTCCCCAATGGACCATTAATGAAGAGCTATGAGAGCCCATTTTCTCAATCACTTGGACAATTCTGGGAAGAGGACCTCTCTTGCTTGAGATGGCTAGACCAACAGCCACCCAATTCTGTATTATATGTTGCCTTCGGTAGCTTCACTGTGTTCGATGCAGAACAGTTCCAAGAGCTAGCTCTTGGACTTGAGCTCACCCAAAGGCCTTTTCTTTGGGTTATTCGGAAAGTATGACAAAGGTAAAGACACAAAAGTGACATACCCAGATGAGTTTCATTACAAGAACGGAAAAATAGTGAACTGGGCACCTCAACAGCATGTGTTGAGCCACCCTGCAATAGCTTGCTTTTTTAGCCATTGTGGTTGGATTTCTGTCATTGAAGGTTTGAGCAATGGGGTCCCTTTTCTGTGCTGGCCATATTTTGCAGACCATTTCTTTGACAAGACTTGTATTTGTAATGCTTGGAAGGTGGGACTGGGATTTGACTTTGACGACAAAGGACTGATCTCCATGAAATCAAGAGAAAAGTGGACATGTTGCTTGAAGATGAAAGCATAAGGGCAAGGTCAATGGAGCTGAAAAAGATTATCATGAATAACTTAACAGACGGGGGTCTCTCATCCAAGAATTTCACCGAGTTCGTGGAATGGGTTATACAATAACATGTTTGATGTTATTCACCAAGAAAAGTAATAAGAGGATTGTAGGCATCAAATAATAGTAGTAGTAGTAATAAGAAGATTATTACTCTTTAACCTTTACTTTCTCTTTTGGATGTATCGCAATCACAATTAATTGTTAACCACTCAAGCAATCAATCATTTTCGGTGCCATATCCAAGAAACCAAAACACGGAGAAGTGAACAAACTATGCTACTTCTTGCAATTCGACAACCTAAAATTGGCCAATATCACTCTCTAGTGCATACAACAAGTCTAAGGCAGAAGAACCATGAATTGGCCATAGAAATACAAGCCGGCACTATTTTAATTTTATAAATATTACCAAACAAAAGCCAAAATATTTGATGGACTTGGATGGCCAAAATTAACCATTTATGAGTTGATTTACTGCGTAAAAGCATATATAGCAGTGGAAATATAAATCAAAAGAGCAGAAGAAACCAGTATAACCAAAGCAGCAACGGCATGAACAGCAGATTTGCTACCGCAGGACAGCATCCCTAGCCGAATCTCAATCACATTGACCATCGAAAGCATGAGAAACAAGCAACCCATCACGGATCCAACGGCGGAGCCCATCATCCCGAACCTCAAAACCTTGAGATTAATGTGTACTCTGAAAGCCTCATCGACGTCCTTGCTGTTGAGCAAATTGATGGCGAGCTTCAAGCCCTGAGCGACCAACGAGGAGAAGAGGAAGAAGCTGAAAGAAACAACCTCGAAGACAAGGAGCTTCTTGGCGACGTCGATTCCAGCGTCGCAGGAAGACCGGTTCTCAAGACTTCGCTGACCTGGGGTTGTAAGAGAGAGACCAACGAAGACAGCAATGGTGAAGAGAGAATTAACATTGACAAGACCATCGAGAGCTGTGACATGAACACTCGTTGTGGGTGAAGAATACGAATCAGAAGAGACTCTAGGGACGGTTTCTGGGTTGTAATACTCCTTTTGGTACTGCTCAGATCTGAAAGCAAGAGATTACACAGAAAAAATGGTTCAAAGAGTGAAATAAAAAGTGAATACAATTGATATAACAAAAAATGCAGATTGTAAAGCAAGAAATTTCAGGAAGAGATATACTCTGCCATGGAGGAACCGAATTTTTTGGCGATTGGGCTTCGGGGTTGCTGAACTAGAGAGAAAATTATTGCTTGTAAGGGTTTTTGTGTTGGTTCCTTGAGGAGAAAGATGCTTTTCTTTCCGATTTTGTTTGCTTCTGCTACTTTATTGCTTTTTGGGCGGTTTTCATATTCAAAAAGACTGGTAAGGAAAAGAGGTCAAATCAAACAATTCTAAATTTATAACTTTACTCATTTAAATAAATAAATAATAATCAGGTGCTGCAAACGCGCAAACCGGTCAGTAGGGATATGGTACAAGACAGGGTGTTCAGTCCGGACCCGTCCCAATTGACCCGGTATCGTCCCGATCATATCGGGACGGGTCTTGTCCCGGCCCGAAAATAATCGGGACGGGACTTTACGGGACGGGACAGGAAAGAGGTTCGGGACGGGACGGGACACGGGATTACCATCGGGACGTCCCGTCCCGTCCCGAATATTATATATATTATTTTTTATTTTAAATATATTAATTATATTAATATAATTTATACTTATATTAATTATATCAATTATAATTTTAATACTTACAATTCTTATTTAAAACTAAAGTTTTTTTATATTGATAATTTTAATGGCATGGAGTAAACATGGCGATATCTTTCTTTATAATATATTAATTATATTAATATAATTTATTCTTATATATATCTATTTAATAACTTTTATTTACAACGTATTTTTTGCTTATTTTTAGAAGAGTAATTAGCTTAGTACATCTTCACTAAAGTAGAAGAACAATGATTTGATGTTATGTTTGACTTGTCTGTTGTTACTAATCTTATAATATAAAGATTATTTGTATTTATTATTATAATGTGTAGTTATGATTAATATAATTCAATAATTAATTTTAAATTATTGTTATTTATGTACTTGTGTTGTTTTGATTTTAAACTTAATAAATTATATGATTTAAAATTTTAATGAATGTTATTATCCAAATCTTTTTTCGATATTATTCCATTTATCGGGACGGCGGGACGTCCCGATCTTGTCCCGGTCCCGTCCCGACTCTTAACGGGACGGGACGACTTTCGGGACGGGACGGGACACGGGACCAAAATTCAGTCCCGATCTTTTTCTCGGGACGGGACACGGGACGGGGGTGTCCCAGTCTCGTCCCGTCCCGTGAACACCCCTAGTACAAGATTAACAGTCAAAATTTTATTAAATTTAAAAAAAATTAATTTTTTAATTCTTTAACTTTCAATTATTTATAACTCAGTCTTTTAATTATAACTTACTGTAATTTAATCCCTCAACTATAACTCACTTATGATTCAATCTTTTAGCTTTTGAATCAGTTACAAATTAATCCCTTAACCTTTGTTAATTTTTTTCATGTTAGCTTATCTCTCACATTAATAAATAAAAAGAGAGTATCTTAAAATAACATATGAACATTTTTTTATTCCTCTTATTTGATAAAAAATTTTAAAAAATTAAAAAATAAGGATCGAGTTATAAGTAAATCAAAAGTTGAGGGATTGAGCAGTAACGAGTTATAGTTGAGGAATTGAGTTAAAAGTTGAAGGATTAAAAAATTATTTTTTTCTTAAATTTGTAAGATGTTAGTTTTATAATTTACCAACCATCAATAATATGAAAAAAAAGAAATCATCAAACTTCTTGTACTTTTAAGAGGGGGAGCATGAGAACTAAATTGTGATGTTGATTGTGACGTTGAATTGGACAACACACACTTTATCTATTTGTATATTTTTTTTTTCCTAATATTTGCAAAACTGTACAAGGATATTTAATTTTTGAAAAATTGTTGACAAAAAAAATCTTCTCTAAAAACATGATAAAAATAATATCTATCTTTACAAATATGTAATAAATGAATCATTAAAATAATTTTATTTTTGTTTAATAAAAAATGATTTTATTTTCATATGGCACTAAGGTAGAGTCAGGTTTTCCTTTGGAGCTCTGACCCCTCAAGCCTGGTTGCTCTTGTTCACATGATTAGGGGTCAGAATTTCAAGTGAGATTTTTGGCCTCAAAAGACACTTAAATAAATAAATAAATAAATAAATAAATAAATATATATATATATATATATATATATATTTATTTATTATTTATTTATTTATTTATAAATATATAAATATTATATCATATATTATCTCTACTTAAAATTATGAGATACTTTTAAGTTTTAACTAATGTATGATTTTAATAAATTAATTAATGAAATTTAAAATTTTATATTTTTTAATGTTTACTTTTATTTAATAGTGTCTCAGTTAAAAAAATATTATTAATTATTCCCTAATTAATATATTTAAAAATTATTAATTACACTTTAAAAAACTTAAAATAACTTATATTTTTAAAAAATATCTTATAATATTAAAAGAAGAGAATATATTAATATTTTTATATTTTCAACTCATCAACATAACTAACCAACTAAGCAATTATTAACATTAACATTAACAATATTTTAAACATGCCCTAACTTGAGACACACAAGCTAGCATCATGGAGTTGGGCAAATATTATTAATACAGACATATAATCATCAATTATTATTAATACTTTATTTAATATAAAAGTATGCCAAAAATATAAACTTTTTATTTTTTCTATATTTATCTTGAAAACCAGTATATTAAATATAAAATAGGGTTAAAGTACAAATATACCCTTGAAATGTCACACAACACAGCTAATATTCTTAAATAAATAGTTGTTATATTAATATTTTCATATTATAAAATTATTTTAATATGGCTATGCATTTTTATATTATTTTTTTACAATAATACTATATATATATATATAAATAAATAGCACATTAAATAAAATTTAGGTCCTATTCGACAGTGTAATATGAAATGGAATAAAATAAATATTTCGAACAAGTTCTTACAATTTTTTTATTTGAAGTGTTTCAACCTTTTTTTTATAGATTTAAGTATATATTGGTTAAATTAAAAATAAAAAATCTGATATTATTTTAATTAAAATATTTAAATCTATTATAAAATAATTTTATTTTATTAAATTTTTTTATTCAAAATTTAAAAATAAAAAAATCTGTAATTTCTTTTTTTTTATTGACAAAATCTGTAATTTCTTTATTTCGAGTTTCTACAGTTTCTTTCAACTTTTTTTGGTTTAGCATTTTTTTTAAGTTGAAGGCAGCCTGAGAAGCCCATGAAGCCCAATAAGGATCCTATGGCTATAAATGTGGGTCTGAGAACAAAGCCAGAAGGCAGCCGAAACCTAATCAGGATGGATTTATGATTTTATTTCAATCTTCTTCTGCTTCAAGTTCTTTCTCTGCAGTATGTGTTGTTCTTGTTGAAGTCGTTGAAGGTGCGATGATGATGAGAGTAAATAATCTCGTTAATCTGATCTTTATGGTGTGGATAAACTTTCTCTTCCATTCAACTGCTCTCTGAGCACCTTCATCTGAGTGTCTCTTTCAAATTGATAAGCCTTTTTCCCCCCGTTTTTGATGTCGTCATGTTCTTGTATTTTCTGTTTCTTTTTGGTTCAGTAATGGTCCTGCTTGATTTTTTGTTTTGACAATAATTTTTCAGAACAAGTGTTTGATAATATGTTTTTGGTGATCTATTCTGAAAAACAAGTTGATAAATATGTGTTCTTAAAATCAAATCAACTTTTTCAGTTTTGTTTATCTTTTAACAAAAAGGGAAGAGGCTGTTGCAAAGAGCAAATGCTTTCATTTATGGCAGTTTTGTAAATATTGCTAAATAAACTGTCTCCATTGTGTTTAAAATTCTTTTGATTTTTTATTTCTGAAAGTTGTGTTATTGGTTTAATTTTGTTCGATTGTGAATGGTGCCCGCAATGCTGGGACAGACGACAGTTAACAAAAATAGAGTTTATTAAATCAAAATAATATCAAATCACTTCAACAAAATCTTGAATTAGATTCTTCCTTCCTGGTGTTCGGAAAACTATTTAAAATGCTTGAACAGTATAATTTCAATGCACATAAAATAACCTTTTTTACATATTAACATACCCCAGCAACTGTTGGGGTGATTACCCTCAGTGCTCTGCGTCTAAAAATTATAGCTTGGTGGTATGCAAATTATTTCATGAGTAGGAGATTACGGGTTCAATTTTATTTCTAATCTTGTTGGGGGAAAAAAAAAGAGCGTGATAGAAAATGGGGGCAATACAAGAATTTAATCAGGAAAATAAAAGCAAAAATTAAACAAAAATTGCCCAAATAGATGAGCAATCGTGTTGAAACAACTCAACAATGAGAATTGATACAGTTGTCTTCTGCCAAGATAAAAATAACTAGAAAATCTGGGCCTATTTTTAATATTGACGAAAGGTTATAATTGTTACATTTTTAATATTTGATGTTTATTTTACGTCATCTCATAATTTAAATTATTTGATGATTCTTAAAAAATAATTCTTAATTAAATTTGTACTTTTATCTTAAAAATTATTCTGCAAAACTAAAAAATTAGAATATTTTTTAAATGTTACTTTTTGTTCTGCAAAACTTAGGGAGAACAAAAAGTAAAAAATATCATACTTTTATTAGTAATAATTATGTTAATAAAATAAATTATTCTTTCTCAGTTTAATTCACCAATTTAGACATGTATTTTAAAATAATGATTCAAACTATTTTTTTTTCTTTTTTAATATCTAAAACTTGTTTTGAAAAACTATTAATTGTTTTGAGAATATAAAAACAGAAAACAAAACCAAACACATCCATGTTTTCTTTACTTGCTTGATTAGGCTCCAAATTTAAGTTTGAGAATTACTGATTTGTCATTTGAGGATTTTATCAGTTGCTGTAGTGCATTTCCGCTTACAAGAGAACCTCATATCAGGGTGGAATGGCAAACCCATGAAGGCGTCAGAGTCTAGTTATGCATCTTAAGAGTCAGATAATCTTGCAGATCAGAATCAGAAGATGCAATGCTGAAGTTGCAGAAAAGGAAGTAAGACAACGGTATTAATGTGGAAATGTCAGTACTAGAAGAGCTCTTATTTCCAACTAGTCCTTTTCATATAGGCACGGGCATAAGTTGCTGCAACCGTGTTATTGGAAATCAGGAAATCTTCTCACTTACTAACCCCATTTTTATATATAAAATATTTTTAATCAAATCATATAAATTAATAAAAATTAATTATATAATTAAAAATAAAGCAACATTTCAATTTTTCCCTTAATTATTGTAACTAAAAAATAAATCTCTTTTTTCAAAATAAATTAATAAAACCACTTATCTTTTTCTCTTTCTAATTTAATCAGGACATAATAGTTCATTCATTAACAAATATGCTAACAATCTCTTCTATTTAAGGACCAAAAAAAAATTTTAAACGATATTTTATATATAAGGACGGAAGGAGTACTTGTAAATCAAAGATTGGATCTCCTTGGTCACATTTTGCTAGATTAATTGGCTCCTTGCAAAGTTGCTTCCACAAATTGTTAGTGAATAAACACAATCAAGAAGTTTTTTAATTAAGGTGCATCCCTGACAGCATGTAAATGAGGGGCAAGAAAGCTGTAGAATAGATGTGAGTGAGTGATCAATATATCAGTATCAATACATTAATATATAAAATTGTGGCATTTCCCACGTATCAGTTCCTTCATAAAAACAAAACCTATTAACTTTTTTAAAAAAATATATTTCAATAATATATGGTTGGTTCTATCATAGAAGTCACGTTATACATCATTGTTATTGCAAAGGTCCAGTAATAACTAGTAAATGGCTCATGAACTTTATTTTGATATACTACTCTGAAGGGTCCTTTTTAACAATAGGGAAAATTAATCTTTTAGTTCTTCAACTTTTAATCCATTTATAACTCAATCCCTCAACTATGACTCACTGTGACTCAGTCCCTCAACTATGACTCACTTATGACTCAGTCCCTCAACTTTTGAATCACTTATAATTTAGTCTCTCAACTTTTTTTATTTCACTTTTTTTTCACATCAAAGAACAAAAGGAAGGTATTTTAGAATAATATATAAACATTTATTTTATCTTTCTTATTTGATAAGGAAATTTAAAAAAATATTAAAAAATAAGGACCGAATTATAAGGGAATCAAAAGTTGAGAGACTGAGTTACAACGGGTTATAGTTGAAGGACTGGGTCGCAATGAGTCATAGTTGAGGGACTGAGTTACAAGTGAGTTAAAAGTTGGAGGACTAAAAGATTAATTTTCCCTTAACGATATCTAGAAAACAGCAAAGCATGATTGATTTTGTATAACAGTAGCAACATGAGGTAGATAGGAAGAAAGTAAGAAATAAGCCTCCAGAGCTTTTCAGCCAGTTGGAGGAACCTCTCCTCTCATTATCCTCCACGGACCACCATAAAACTGTGGTTTCATGAGAGGTACAGCTTCCCCAGGGTGCTCTTCCCAGTATTTTTCCTGTGACATTGCAACATCACTTCTTAATTCAGTAATTAAAAAATAGATTCTAAATAGAGTTCCAAAGTTAATAAAGTAAGTTCTCATGACATAATAACAATCATTAAACAATATGCAAAGGCTAATCCAAGCATCATGATTTTTCATCCACAGTAAATTATTGGCTATTGCCTCATTTTTCTTGTGAATGCATAAGTGAATTTTGCAAAGAGGTGAAAACACCAGACATGTTATCCGCGGCCATACAACAAAACAGGTTTTGTCACAAGAATTTACTAATGATAAAGGAAATCAATACATTAATGGAGATCAGAGGACAACCACAAATCAGAAAAATTCTAAACTCATCAGGTCAAAAGAACTTTGCCAATTCCCATATAAGCCACAAGGAAATAACAACCCCCCTCCCTTCCCCAACCAAAAACAAAAAAACAAAAGCCATTTGAGGAAGCCCAAAGTAAGAAAAGAAACCAACGCTCTCCCAAAGACGTGGCAAAAGAAACTTCTAATAAAAATTTGCATTCTGATTTAAACGAAAAACATGCACTCTGTTCTAATAAACACCATAATCCAGCAAAAATAGCGCACTGTCACAGCTTTATTTACTTTCTCACATTCTGTTCTGATAAACACCATAATCCAGCAAAAATAGCACACTGTCACAGCTTTATTTTCTTTCTAATAGACAGACCAAACCATCTTCCCTTGAGCTAGAACCATGGAGAAGACGGATACAAGGGTTTTGAAAACATACATATTTTTCATCAAAGAGTAAAGATAAAAAGAAACTGATAATAACAGGCAAACCAAAGCAATATGCAGCTCATGCTATAAGAATGGAATTCAAAGCAATCTACACTAGAAGAAAGATTGTTGAAGACTTGAAGGTGTTAGAATCCATGGAAGTGATGGTTTTAACAATGACTTTAACTTCTGATGACCAGGATATTTAAACACTAAAACTTGTTATTTCAAATAATTCTTGGTACAAGCCAAACTTTACTATTATTTTGCTTGTGATCACCAAAACATTAATAAAACCACAACATTGCTGAGCCAAAAAACTAAACTAGAAACGAAGTAAATTAGGGGAAGAAAACCTTTGGCCAAAATAATAATGTAAAAAGAACAGAACCTTGTAGCGTTGCTCAGTGATAGCAGCCCCAATGACTCCAGTGTAGAAAGCAGCAATATAAATGGTTACCAAAGGAGTGAAGGATTTGGGTCTTCTGTACGGTTCAATCATGTCCCAGAGAATGGTTCTCTCCCACTTTGTGTACAAATAGTCTGCATATTTCCTCCAAAGATAGCTGGCCATTTTACTACCTCCCCTTAAATCCTGCAAATGGGTCTACGAAATTACTTTCAAAAACTGAAAACCAGAAACAGAACTAAGCCTAGCAGCAGGGATTTGACAAGAATAAGAAATAGAGAACCTTTGTGTTTGGGCTTTTAACCAATAAACTTGTAAACCCCAGAGAGAGGGTAAGTTATGTTTGGATGGAGGGTAATAGATGATAAGGGAAGGAAAGAACATATTTTTATTCAAACGTTTTTGCAGATTTATATTTCAATAAAACAAATTCTATACTTCCTTTCCCATTCATTCTCCTCAATCCATTCACACAATAAATGCTTCTGAACAGTTCAATTAAAGATGATAATCAATTATGAAATTAAGATTAGCTAAAGAGCTACATGGCTGTTAAATTTTAAGGTAACAAAAATAAAAGACAGAAAAGCATAACATTGGCCAGAAGGATTAGTCCATGCCTATAGTTCTTGCATTTTCCTCACTCATAGACCAACTTTCCAATTATTCGACAGTGATGATGAATGTCTAATTCACATATTTTCATAAAGCACCCGTGAACTATACTTTCAAAGCCACTAAAATTCTACTGCTAAGTGCTACCTCCTACAAAAGAAGGATCAATTTCTTAAGTATTAGATGTCCTTCAATAAGCACAAGACATAGAGAATTCTTTCAAACATCCAATCATGATATATTTCCGTAGAGCTTCGAAAAAATATTTCCTTTTTCATAAACCTATAAAAAAATGTACACAAGTTCTGCCCATTAAAAAGAATTCAAATTTCGTACAGGCATTTTATCAAATAAACAGAGGGAAGTAATTTTGGCTTTAGAGCTACGTAATTTATTTTGATCCCCGTAAAAAATGAAGCTAATTATTGTGCATCCCCACCCAATCACAAAGGCATAAAATGCTGGCTTCTAACTAATCTAAGATAATCGATTAGAACAAATCCTATTAACCACAAATCTCAAATCAATGAGTTGAAGAACGGAGAAAGTAGCAGCCACGAAACTCTTCCACTTCGGGGGCAACAAATCTTACGCAAGAGGCAACGAAATAGTAAAAAACCCAACCGGTTTTTGGAAAAACACAAACCGATCTGGCCGCCGCGGTGGTTCCTGGTGACTGGTGGCGGTGAAGATTGACGGCAGTGCGAGAAGTGGAGCAGAGCTGCATTTTTTCCCCGGCAGTGAGGCTGCACTTGTTTTAATTAAGTTCTTTTGGGCCAAATGTTCTTTCATATCAATATGTATACTGTATATATAAATAACGTGTATATATAAGGAGCAGCTTGCTGCTTCCTAAATGCAAAATCATCACGTCTTAAAACTATTGAACGGCAACGAAAATTTTAGAAGCTATATGCAGCTTAGAATAATCTTAACATCAAGCAATTTCAGTTTCCCTAATACGGATCAAACAAGAAGAGCGAGGAAACAAGCTCAAATTATGCTTATAAAGAATTGCATTGAGCTTAGGAATACAGAGATTGGGAATGGAGGGGACAAATAGTGCGAGTAACCTAGTAGGAGAGCAGGGCACGGGATTGCTATTAAGTATTAACCAAAGTTCGAACTTGTACTTGAAGAATTATAAAATTCCAGAATAAGAAATCAAAAATTAAATCTCAAGTTAAAGGAGAATAAAGAAACGTACAGCACGGTACTGTTTGGATAGCCCCTTTGGTAATTGCTGCCACAGACAAAGACGAAGAAGGAGAGAGAATTGATGTAGGGAGGCGAAGTTGCGAAGAGCCAAACTGCGGAATGCAAAATTGGGACGCCAGTTTAGAACTTAACAAGAATCGAAGGAGAGAGGTGAGAATTGAGAAGGGGTGGGATGCTGAAGCCGAACTCAGAAGGATGATAGTTTTTGTTTTTGTTTTTTCTGCTTTTTAAAAAATATTAAAAAAAATATAATTTTAAATCCTTATACTTTACGCACATTTTATTATTAATTACTATATTTGTTTAATCTTTAAAGTTCCTGCACTTTTATTTTTAATTATTTTAAATCCTTCATGAACAAAGTATAAAAACTTTGAAGAAATTTAAAATATTAAAAAATAAAAATGTAGGAATTTAAAATATTAAAAAAATTCAAGGATCAATAGCAAAACGTGAATAAAGTGCAAGAATTTAAAATTATATTTTTTTTAAATTTAATATAGATCTAATGAAATAAACTTATTTATAAATAATTTTCATAAAATTCAAAAATTACAATTAAGTTTCTTAAGACTAAAGTGTAATTTGAAATTATATTACAATTTAAATCACTGATGAGATAGTTACATATAATTAGTATTAAACTTATATTATAATGTATGATCAATTTAAATATTGAATATATAAAATTATAATTATAAAAAATTAAAATTGTTGTAACTTACTAATGAAGTAGTCATTAATTATTCAATTAATGTAATATATTTTTAATAATGAATATTATTATCTTTGTAGCTCAATTTCAATTTATCATCAGATTCCAAAAAAATTAGCTCTAATTTTTAAATTTTGTGATATTTATTTGTTAATAAGTCCACCCTATAAGATCTATACATAATTTTTCTTTTTTTTTTCATGTAGGAAAATAGGAAAATCGAGCCCAAACTTATATTATAAACTTGATCACAGCTCAACCCAATCCAATTGCTCAAATGACTCCAATCTTTGAAGCAAGCAGTTTAAACACTCCTATCCTTTTTGGAAAAATGAATGAGACTGCATTTATGATTCATGTCGTGTTTCATTTTGAAAATCGTCACATGTCATTTGGGATTGAAAAGAGACATTCCAGTAAATAGAGGAGATGTGGAACAGAAGCATAAATAATAACATTTATTAAATTACATTATTCATTGAGTCCAAAATCAAAACAATATGAATATATAAATTTAATTATTAAATTACAATTTAAAGTAAAAGATACAATAATCAAATACACGACAATGACAAATAACCTCTAGTCTACAAATATAATGACAACAAAATTAGAGTTTCTCAACTTTAATAAATTAGTCAAACACAAATGAAGTAATGCATTATTCCTCTTAATAAAAAATATATACATTAAATAAATAAACTATTACATAGTAATAAAAGGAAAAAAGTAATAATCTGTATATTATAGTCAGAACAGGACATGACATTTCGAAGATAGTCCTGTGTCCCACCCATCCTGAATCATTTTTTTTTCATTTTATAAAGTCTCGTCTTATTTTTTCATGTCAAAATAGATTAGTCCCAACATAATCAGAATAAAGTCGAATTGATTATACACAAGTATGAACACCCTTGTTTGTTAGCCAATGATCATGCGATCTTGCTCTACAAATATATATATATATATATACACACACACATAGAGCACTAACCACTAAGTCTAAATAACGATTCACCAATAAGTATGAAATTTCAAATTCAAAATCATGAAAATTAGAAAAATGTTTTAAAAAAGCTACCCCCAATTGAACCTAATAATGCTTAAATTTAACCTTGTCAAATAGTCATTTAAAAAAAAAAAGTGTTGCCTTACAAACAATGGGAAATAAATAATTACAGTTCAAGATCAAAAGATTCTAAAATTTTAGTAAGAGAGTAAAAGTCATTAAGTAATTTGACATTGATGGTCTGATATTTCATAATTTGACATTACTAGTTACTATTCCAAAATTTCACACTAAAAGCTTTTGTGAAAATTTGATATTATTATTTTCAATAAAAAATCAAAGGTCATTAAATAAATTCACACAAATATTTTAAAATTTTGACATTGATATTACAAATTTTGATAATAATATATAACTTTGGAATATTGTTGTCAAAATTTGAAATATTAATGTTTAATTTTAGAATTTCTTGTTAATATCAATACCAAATTATATAAGGATATCCTTTCCTGAAATTTTAGAATTTGTAGTCCACAATCAAAATTAAAATTCATGTTTTGATTACAAAGTTCAAACCATCACTAATTCTTTTCTTGCCATCATATATCTCAATCTCGTTGCAATGGAGTCCCTCCCCATTTCAACTTTAGGGTTATTAACCGGAGTTATATTTTCTCTATCCATCGAAAATGTGAAATGAGTCAATGGACCACAGCAAGAAATAAGAGGCCTATATTATGCAAAAAGCACTAACAAGCTTATTTTGTATTAGGGCTGGGATGCTAATTTAAGCTTTATTTTCAATGACATAGAGATTCTCTTATTAGATGATATCATGTTCAAAATATACTTAGATATTAAGAGATTTGCTTAGATTTTTCATATCCGACATTTCAAAAGTGTTTCTTCACTTTTCAAATCTCAAATGTTATTTGAATACTTATAAGAGGTGTAAAAATATTCTCTAATTAAATTTTCAACAAGCGTCTAAAAATGAATTTTGGCAACTCTAAGCCTTTTGAAATGGAGAATATAAGTTAGATAATTAATTACAAGAAATAAGTGTGTATTTAAATAATTTTTAATTTACTAAATTGACTTTGAAAAAACATATTAAAATATAAATTTTGTTACTTGATTTTTACTAAATTAATTTTTTATTAATGAAAAACCAAACATACACTAAACTAAGGCATGTTTTTTTTATAGGCATTCGAGCATTGGTTCAGAGCTTCTTCTTTTTTTTTAATGTATCCAACCATAATTAGTTGCTAATTGAAGTTTTAAACATTTAGAAGATTGCTTATACATGACTTTATAATTCACTCAATTCTTTATTTGAAGAATGTGCTGGATGCGAGTTGAATGGCCGGAACATATCCACTTTACCTTAAACCACCCCCCCTTTTTTTCTCTCCTGAAGTTTCTTTTTTGACTAAGGAAGCAATCGGAGTTCTTTTAAAGAAGCAATTAAAGTTTTGAACAGTTCACTGAAAACGAGTGGGGACACCCCCGCCAGAAAAAATTGCAAAACGAACAAGTGGTCAATGATCAGATGATAACGTTCGTAATCTCATCCTAGAAAACATAGATTTTACACACACACAAATGCAAATAACAGTTGTAAGTATTAAATTTTAAGATTTGTAACGAATTTTTATATTTCTATTTCATCTTAGTGATTGTAACAGCGTACTTAGCTTGGTCTAAAGAACATGTTGCTGTAGTAATTTAGGAAAAGACATCTCTTTTATCACCTGAACTTTCACCTGTGTGTGTGAGCCGGGTCTGTGTTTGAATATATATAATCTAGAATAATTATTGTTTAATATATTTAGTGTACTTATGGGCGAAACAAGACGGAGATAATAAAGCAAGGAGCTTTAGCAATAATCTGCAATATTATTGTTAAGACAAAACGAGGCCCTCCATCCTCGGCGGGAGTGGAAGATCAGAGGGGCCCATCACTGAACAGAGAAGCAGAAGCCATTCGAGGAAGAGAACACTCTAGCCCATGTGCGCTTCAGTTTTCACACTGCCAAATTTGTTTGCTTCAACTCGGGATCTCTCTCTCTCTCTCTCTCTCTGGACAGAAACTTGAGAAAAGGATACCAGACATATATTCACCAAGAAATCCGATGCCATTATCATCACAATCTTCTTGGTTTTTCACAACCCTTCTGTGTTTATTAGACGTTGCTTTTGCTGGCGACCCGTTTGTTTTCTACGATTGGACTGTGTCCTACGTTGCAGCCTCCCCACTGGGAGTTAAACAAAAGGTTTGTTTTCCTATCTTTAATTTTCTTCTCATTCCGCGTCTCTTGGCAATTCTCATAGTTACTCTTGCAAGTATGGTGTAGTTTCTCTTTTATTTTTGATCCTCAAATTCTATGCTTTTAAGCAAAATTGACACTTATTCCTGCTTGCTGAATTTTGGCTTGGTTGATTCGAATCGGTTTAGGCGAGCTCAGTATTTTAACCAAACTGACAAATTCAGTGTAATGAATTACAAGTTTCTCAGTTCAATTTGCTTTTAGTTGTGATTATGGAAGATAGTGTTGAGTCTACTACTTGGATTCTATAATGATTTAATCAACAGATTCATGTCTGATAATGGGAATGTATTACATAACTGACTTGAAGGAACACTCTTATGGGGTTTCCAAGTTGTATAATGAGATATTGTCACAAGATTTACTACATGGAGCTCTCACAATTGCTTTGTGGGTTTCCAAGTTGTATAATTCACTTCTGTGCAGTGCTATTATGAGTTCTTTAAAAGGTTTGAATTTTGAGGGCTTTTTTTGCTCGCAAGAAGTTGTAAGCTGTCAATTCTCTAGTTCTAATGTGAGATCATAATTTCAGGTAATCGGGATCAATGGGCAGTTTCCAGGACCAATTGTGAATGTCACCACAAACTGGAATGTTGTTGTCAATGTCAAGAATGACCTTGATGAGCCATTACTCATGACATGGTAGCACAAATTTATGTTGTCAAGAATGATGATGATAATTAATAAAGATGATGATAATGATTCTGTTGAATAGTTAAATGCAGGAATGGCTTACAACACAGGAAAAACTCATGGCAAGATGGAGTTTCTGGAACTAACTGTCCAATCCCTGCTGGTTGGAATTGGACCTATGAGTTTCAAGTCAAAGATCAGATAGGGAGCTTTTTCTACTTCCCTTCCCTAAACTTTCAAAGAGCTGCAGGCGGATGTGGTGGAATTATCATAAACAACCGAGATGTTATTCCTGTTCCTTTTGGATTACCGGATGGTGATATTACAATACTTCTGAGTGATTGGTACACTAAGAGTCACGAGGTCTCACTGCTTTCTGTTTTTAATTTTTGTAATCATGTCAGTTCATTTAGAGGTGTTGACAATGCTTGTGGTCATTCAGGACCTCAGGAAAGATGTGGAAGACGGACGTGACCTTGGAATCCCTGATGGTGTGCTTATTAATGGTCTAGGTCCTTACCGCTATGATAACACACTTGTCCCAGGTGGCATTACTTTTCAGATAATAAATGTTGAACCAGGTAAGAATTCAGGACATACTTAACATTTATGTGTTTATATGATAACACTCTGCACTTTCCTTACCCCTTTGTTTGAATTCCCCACCCATCTTGTATATGCCTTTGACCTTGTATTTTATTTCCTATAATCCTCTGCCTGTCACTGAAGCAATTAAAGCATTACCCTTCAATGATTCATCTGGTATGAGATTCAAGAAATTCTGAAGCTTTTAAAAACAGGATCAGCAGGTAGCAGCCTTATCCCTATCCTACGTATGCTTTGAAAGGAACAACCCATATTTTATTTGGATGAATTAGGACAATTCTGAGGAAAAACCTTTTAAGAAAAGATAAACGATTCAAGCAGAATTCAAAACTGATTAAAGATAGATTGCAGAACCTGATAAAGATACATTGCAGAACCTGATAAAAGGATGGCAGACCACTAATCACATATCACAGAAGGAGGACACCTTGTTGGCATAACTGAGTCAAAGCACTTGGAATATTTGTGATATTTGTGATTATTGGTCTCTTATCGCAAAACCGTAGGAGTTACTGCTGAATAGTTTCCAGCCTTTGCTAGGAAAAAGCCTTTTCTGTACAAAGCAAAATAATTCAGATAAAATTCAAAGCGAATTTTCTAAATGGTTCTGTCAATTCAAGGCATTTCCCCCTGTTGAGATTTCAAGAAAATCACAAAATATATTATGGAACATGGTTCTGAAAATTCTGACTACCATTTATCAACTAGATACAAACGTATTTGGTGCAGCCAAAGGCAGCCACCTATAACATTGTCAACTAGGAGCAGAAAATTTGGGGCTCAAGAAAGTATTTAGCTTATGCAAGATGCAACTGATGAGAAATTTGTGTTAGCAGTTGCTAGGAATAACTGGCTAGGCTTTTATGGGTGGGGTCCAAAATACCCATACAAGCCCGTTTAAATTCATTTCATTGGAATATTATTCTTTTTCTTTTGTCTGCTGAGATTTTAGCTTGGAGAGGCTAGAAATGGGCACGTGCCTTTTTTACTATAAATTGTTAGTCACTTTCATTTCTTACTAGATTTGTGTTTATATTCATATTTGGGGATCATAAATGTCCATTGCTGGTTGCCCACATTCTATGTCAAACAGTGTCTAAGATAGTTGTCAATGTTTTGTTCATAGATTGCCTTTTGCCTTTAAAAACAGCCGGATGTTTATTTATCTCCATCACATTTATTTACTTTAAAGAATAAATGTTTCTGGGGCATGTCCTTTTTTTTTTTGAAAAAAAAAAAAGATGTTGACCTCTATCTCTTCAGCTAATATGAAAGCAAGAGGATTTATATTTTGTTCTGCAAAATAAAAAATATTTTGAATGTGTAATTTAAACTGTGATCTAATGATGCATTTAAATTTAGAATTAATCTGACAAAATGCATATTCAATTCATTTTTAACATGCTTGTTGTTTATCATTCTGTCTGAAACAGGGAAAACATATCGGCTCCGAGTGCACAATGTTGGTATTTCAACGAGCTTGAATTTTAGGATACAAAATCACAACTTGCTTCTGGTGGAGACTGAGGGATCGTATACAGTTCAGCAAAACTATGATAACATGGATATTCATGTGGGTCAGTCATATTCATTCTTGGTTACAATGGATCAAAATGCCAGCACTGATTACTATATTGTTGCAAGTCCTCGATTTGTTAATTCTTCTTGGGCTAGAGCTACTGGAGTTGCCATTTTGCATTACTCTAATTCCCAGGGACCTGCTTCAGGTCCTCTTCCTAGTCTTTCTGATCAAGATAATCCTTCTTTCTCAATGAATCAAGCTCGATCAATAAGGTTTTTATTCCGGACCTGTCTTCTTTTCCCATTTTAGGATTGCTAGTTCATTTCAGTTTGAGTTTAGGTATTGGAGTATTTTATTTTCATATGGATTCAGACCATTCAGTTTCCCATTTGATGTTGGCATGTTTTAGGTGGAACGTATCAGCCGGTGCTGCACGCCCAAACCCACAGGGATCTTTCAGATATGGTGATATTACTGTCACAGATGTTTATGTTATTCTCAACAGACCTCCGGAGCTTATAAATGGGAAGTGGCGTACTACCCTCAATGGTCTGTCATATTTACCACCTTCAACACCTCTGACACTAGCCCAGCAATTTAAAATTCTTGGGGTGTACAAGGTTGATTTTCCAAATAAATTGATGAACAGACCTCCAAAAGTTGATACCTCTCTGATCAATGCTACATACAAAGCTTTTATTGAAATAATCTTCCAAAACAACGACACCACAGTCCAGACCTATCATTTGGATGGCTATGCATTCTTTGTTGTTGGGTGAGATTTTTGGCTTTAGAACTATCTATCATGAAACATGTTTTTAGGAGAAGACTTAAGGTTAAGTTCTTCAGGTGTTTCCTATCACGGTTCTTCAATCTAAACATGGCATGGGGGGAAAAGTTTTCAAAAGGTTCAACCTTGATTGGAAAAAAGATAAATCTGTCAAGTTAATTGAAGAACCTGATAACAAACAGCTAAAAGCCGAACCTCAGCTTTGTCCTTTTTTGTTCTAAATCTTCTCTGAGTTTAAATATTGGAATAAGAGTTAGTTTCTTATTTCAACTGCAGTATGGACTTTGGAATATGGACAGAAAATAGCAGAAGCACGTATAACAAGTGGGACGGTGTGGCTCGCTGCACTACACAGGTATTCCTTGTTTGTTTAGGAAACTATCTCACGGCTGTGAACAACTTGAACACTTTCCTTTTTAACAAGAAAATGGTATGATGACAAGAAAACGACAGGTTGGTTGTAGATTTCCCATCAAATCATCGTGTTGCTTTATTTATTGCTCTACTTCCTATGAAACTATAATCCTTATAATTAGGCTACTGTTTAAAATCCAGTAAAGGACAGTTACAGGGGGGAAAGAAGAAAAATTCTATTATACGGTAATAGCAGAGTCACTTTGTTGTGGATATATACTTGGCATTATTTTCTTCTCTTCAACATTAAACCGTCAACAAAATGATATTAGATTGTTTCCTCATATTATGTATTTTGACCTGCTTTATTATGTAACAAGGTAATTTTCATTTGGGAATTAATTATTCAAAATTTGAGACAGTTGGAATAAACTAGGAATTAACTAGGAGCTTAAAGAGAGCCTTTTGAGCTTTGGCTTCCGTTTTCTTGTTAAACCTTGATCAATGAAAATTGAAAAATTGCTTTGAACTGAGTTTTGAGAACTTTGTTCCTTTTCTTTATTCCCTTTTGCTGCTGCAACAGCTTTCCTGTTAGCCATCTCAGAAATAATTATGTCTCGTTGGTTGCATTTTTCTCAAAGACATGATAGACATTTCCCATTCACAAAACTATTTTATTTCATTCCATTCTATTTTTCTTCTGCATACCAAACAAGATTTTAACCCGAAATGTCAAGCAAAATGGGAGATGAATTTGACTTGGCTTGTTTGGCTTAAGTGTAGCGTGTAATAATTTGTTCGTAACATGTCTGTAGGTCTTTCCAGGGGCTTGGACAGCCATTTTAGTATATCTTGACAATCCTGGAATTTGGAACCTTCGTGCCGACAATCTCAACTCTTGGTATCTTGGCCAAGAAGTTTATGTTCAAATTGTGGACCCTGAGATGAAAAAGGAAGAAGCTTCTTCACCTGAAAATGCGATATACTGTGGCTTACTTTCATCGCTACAAAAGTAAGTGCTTCAGAAAACAACCTCATCAATCTTCAGATTTAACCTTTGGCTTCATTTACTTTTGTATGTAAAGTGAAATCTGCTTTCTTTTCATGGTACTATATTGGATTTTACTTGTAATTAATGTGTTCTCTTTAATGTAGTTCTTTTATATGTTTCTCTTCTGCAGGGAACAGTCTCACAAATTCCAGTTCTCTGTTGGGCCCTCTCTCTGCAGTAAATATAGAAAAATATTATTGATGTTATTCTTAGGGTTACTTGGGAATTTTATTTTGTAACTGAGTTTCTGAACTTGTAATGAGATCAAGCATGATTAATTTGTAATCTGAAAGTTGTCAATTCAAATTTTATAGGCACAATCAAGGAGAGATTTTTTTTTTTTTTTTTTTTTGGGGGCAAGAATGTGACATGTTGAACAAGCATCAGCATGTGCCCTGTGAAAGTAATTGTAAACTAGAGTATATTACGGTTTAGTTTTTATTCTCATTTTTTAGTTTTAAAAATTATTTTGTAGTACAGTTTTTAAAATTGTTTTTTAAAACAAAATAAAATAAAAACTCGTTTGATTATGTCAATTAAAAGATAGTTTTAAAATAAAATATGGAGTGATAGTGATGGTTGTAGACAGTTAATAGTGATAAGTAATAATAAAAATTGATTAAGATAATTATAATTTTCAATAATTAAATATAGTGTATTTTAAAAATAAAAAAATAAAATGAAAACAATTTAAAGTTGGCTTTAATTCTTGTTTTTAAAAACAAAAAATAAAAAGTTTTAAAAATAATTATATAAAAAATATTTATTCAAATAAGTTTTAAAGTTTTTCTGTTTTCAAAAATACAAAATACTTTTAAAAACAAAAAATGTACAAGTCATTAGTATCCCCCCCTCTCTCTCTCTCTCTCTCGCTTTTCATATGATGTTCGTGCTTGATAATATAGTTTTATCATATAGAAATGATTTTATTCAATTTTGTTTGTTATTTTTTATAGTTTAAAATTGTATTTGATTATATGTAAATGAAAATTCTTACTCTGATCTTCATTGTTTAAGTTTGTACTAATTAGTATAAATAAAGTAACTTTTTTACCTGAAAATAATTAAAATAACTAAGGTAAAGCCAAATTAGTACACGTAATTGTTCTATGATTGAGTGCTAAAGTCATTGAAAGAGTTGCACACAATTATCACTACTTGAATACTAAATACAAAGCATACCCAATAAAAGAAAGGTCCAAGAAAGAAAATTTAGGAAAGGACAAACAAGGCTTCAATAATTTCAACATCACGGAAGAAAAAGAAGCAAAACGAGATCAAGAGATTTTGAGAAACGACAACTTGCATTATTTCTTAGCCTCCGGTCTACTATTTTAAAAGAGATATTCAGCAACTTTTATGCATATTAAAAAAAAAAACACTTTATCCTGTAGTGCTTATTATTGAGTATTTTTAAATTATTATTCTATCTTATGAATATAGTTTACTTATTCATCTTCACATTTTCATATTTTATTTTTATTTTTAATTTATGTTTTAATTTATTTCATTGTTTTCTATTTATCTATAGTAACCAAACGGGAACTTGATTTATTATTGTCTTTCTATACATGCATGCTAAAGAGCATTAAGGGAAACAAGTAATCAATGCTTCTAGAAATGAGTTGGATCATATAATATTAATTACCGTAAATTTAATAATAAAATAAGTCATCCATGTAAATCTAACAATGTTTAAATTTAAATTAATGGTCATACATGATATTAAATACCGTGAAGTTTATAATAAAAAGAGAAATGACTTGATGAGTAGCTGGTGCACGTGACTAAACCTAACAAACGGATTTGAATCCTATAAATTCCTAAATCTACTCATATAATGAGTATCCTAATTATAATAATTGAATTTTATCAATATTCAAAAATTATAAAAATTCATTTTTCTTAAAAAAAAATCAAATCAATTAATTTTTACGATCAGAACATTCCTCACATACATTGCCCCCTCTAATATAATTTTGAGTTTCTCACAATCATGTCATGAAATTAAATGATTATTATCATATTACGTGCAATACTATTGAATGAGTGAATTTGTGTCACTCATCAAATTCAAATCCAACTATATTCAACTTAATCAATCATATATCTCTCTATAAATAGAGTACAAGCTCCTCATTCCTCAATACACTAACAAGCTTCTCACTTTCTTAGTAGGTACACTAAATCACTCATCTTACAAGATGGCGATCACTGTCGATGCACTTCTTCTCCGAGAACTTGGTGTAGCCATTCTCATATTCATCATCACACGCTTCTCTATTCGCTTCCTTCTCAATCTCCACCATCATCATCGTCATGACACTAAGAAACTGCCTCCAGGTCCCAAAGGATGGCCAGTTCTTGGCGCCATTCCTCTCCTAGGACCCAAGCCTCATGTAACCTTCACAAACATGGCCAAGAAATATGGTCCCATCATGTACCTTAAGATGGGTCCCTGTCACACAGTGGTTGCCTCAACCTCAGACGCTGCCAGGGCATTCCTCAAAACCCTCGACCTTAACTTCTCAAACCGTCCTGTAATTGCAGGGTCAACCTACCTTCGGTACAACACAGACGACCTCGTGTTTCATGAATATGGACCAAAATGGAAGCTGATGAGGAAGCTAAGCAATCTGCACATACTTGGGAAAAAGGCTCTTGATGATTGGTCTGATGTGAGGGGAAATGAGGTGAAGCACATGGTAGGTGTGTTGTGTGAGTTTAGCAGAAAAAATGAGGCAGTGAAAGTGAGAGAATTGTTGAGTTATGTGATCACAAATATTCTGAGTCAAGCAATACTTAGCCGTCGTATGTTTCAAAACGAGGTTTCGGAGTGTAAGGAGTTTAAGGACATGGTGGTGGAGTTCATGGTGCTTTCTGGGATGAACATCGGAGATTTTATGCCGAGGGTTAATAATTGGATCGACTTGAAGGGTTTGGTGAGAAAGATGAAGCGTTTGCATGAGAGGTTTGATGCTTTATTGAAGAAGATGGTGGAGGATCATGAAACGACGCTTGATTATGAAGGTAATAAGAAAGCAGATTTTCTGGATATTTTGATGGCAAATAGAGAAGAGGCCTCTGATGAAGAAGGAGGGCTCAACTTCACCAATATCAAGGCTATACTCTTGGTATGATCCGTTTCTATTCCCAACTTGTTATGTTTGACTTGCTTTAAAGATACTCGCTCACTTGTTTTTTTTTTTTAACCATTATTTACTTTGACAAGAATTTAAAACCTTGCATTTATGGGGTCATATATGTTTATAGCTATTTCAATTCCACTTATATAAAACTAAATCATGTGGAGTATTGATGCTCCCTTGATTTTTTTATGAGACAGATTTAACTACTATATTTTAAATTATAACTCTAAAATTATTTCATCTTTGAACAAATATTTTTCATATATATTTTTTCCTCTCATTCCCTCTCTTTCTCTCTTAAATTAAAAGTATCATTTTTAAGGAGCATTTTGAAAAAAATATTAATTGTTGCCTAGATTTTACAAAGTATTGTCACATAAATATGTAATAATAACTTTAAAAAGATGTCTTATAAAAATAAAGGAAGATGTATTAATCATTGTCATCTCTTTTTCCGAAAAATAATGGACTTGGGTTGTACAAAATTGAATTATTTCAGATTTAATTTCTTTTTGTATCCAGAGTCTTTATTATTAATTGCTGATATTAGAAAAGATGTTACGGGTCAATATTTTGTTTGTTTAGGTAGATATCATATAAAAAACTAGATGAATAGCTTTAATTTGATGCATTCCATGAATTTCAAAAGTGATGGTAGAAACAAGCAATAGGAATGAGTTGCGTGCAGGTTAATTTTAATCACATAACTGGTGGGGTGGCAAACTTCTTTGATGCACTCAGGTTCAAGCCTCTCACACTAGTCACTAAAACATTTGAATAATCTAACAAACTAATTGGTCAGTAAAAGATATAATGACTCAATAATTAGTCAATGCCAAATTGATTGCTATTGGAATTCATTCCTAATTACGTCAAGTTTTCTCAGATAACTTATAGCCCCAAAATGATTTAGGAAGGCTAGACTTGTGTTTCTGTACGTTGCTCTCTCTAGTCTTAAGTACTTCCTTCATTTTTATATATAAAAAAAATTATATCACATAGTTTAAAAAAATCAGTTAACTATAATAATTATGTCTGAAAATAAAATAACAAGTGGACTAAAATACCTTGTGTTAATCAATATAAGTATACATTAATTATTTTTTACTAATGTAAATTATGAGGGGTGATTTAAAAAATGTGTAATAAATACTTATTGAAATGAGTGATTTTGTTTATAAAAAAATACAGGTTAAAAGTGGTAGTTTCTCTAACAATAAAAAACGAAGGGAGGTATAACATAAGAGATAGATAATTAAATTACAAGACTAATAAAAAAGGGGAAAATATAATTTTGGATCCCTATATACTTTACTTGCATTTTGCTTTGAATTTTTGCACTTTATTTACATTTTTCTATAGGTCCATACACTTTTTTCAGTATTTTAAATTTCTATACTTTTATTTTTTGGTGTCCTAGGTCCCTCTATGGTCCCTACATTTTGTTCATTTAGAGACCTAAAACAGCAAAAAATTAAAATGTAGGGACTTAAAATATCAAAAAAAAAATATGGGGACCTATGACAAAACGCAAGTAAAGTGTAGGAATTTAAAGTTATATTTTCTCATAAAAAAAATTAGTTACTTCAATTATTTGTAAAGAAGTATGTACTGTTAATGTTTGGAGAAAGAATATAAATTTAAAATATAAAGTAGATTGAGATATTATTTTTATGATTAAAACAAATCTCTGCACAAGTTCTTATATTTAGAATCGGAGGCAGTATTCTACACGGCTTCACGTGAGAGAAATGTCAAGTTTGTCGATTTAATTTGTCTTGATGTATTTGTTTAATTTATAACTCTTGACCAATATAATTTTTCTTGGACTGAGTTATGATTAAAACTAATTAAATTAACTTGATTTCTAATAGAGTATATGAATAAATTACTTCTTGAACTTTAGGTCCAATAACACTATAGATCCTAAATTCATTTATTGTATAAATTATTCTCAACTTTTAAAAATAATGTAATATAGTCATTAACAAAATTTAACTTTAATTTAGTTAAATAAAAAATGATAAAAAAAGATCTTAAAAATGATAGAAAATGACAAAAAATTACAATAAAAGACCCATAAATTACAGACAACTAAGGATCCCACAAAATTACAGAAAAATTAAAGAATAAAAAAAAATTGATCCTTTTTTATCAATTAATGGTCAAAATCAATTTTTGTTAATAGTATGAGTCATATTATATCTTTTTTAAAAGTTGATGAAACAATTTGCACAATAAACGAGTTTAAGGTCCATAATGTTATTAAACCTAAAATCCAAAGCATAATTTGCTCACTTGCCTTTTTTAATATTAGAATTGAATTAACTAAATTAACTTCCACATCAATGTCGTTAAGATTAATATGATAGATAATAACTATGCACAGGAGCATAGTAGTGGCTTAGGCCTATATACTTATGTTCGAAATTCTATATGGACTCGAATTAAACAAAATGTCGATGTTCAACTTTATCATCATCATTATCATCAAAATTTTATATTCAAAGCAATTTTACCTAAATCCTAATCTAACCACAAGTGTGTGTATATGTTTTCCAGAATTTTTTCACTGCAGGGACACATTCATCATCAAGTACAATAATTTGGGCGCTAACAGAAATGTTGAAAAACCCTAACATCCTCAAGAAGGCACAGAGAGAGATTGACCAAGTGGTAGGCAAGGAAAGACTTGTTCTTGAATCTGACCTTCAAAACCTTCCATACCTGCAAGCAATTTGCAAGGAAACATACAGATTACACCCATCAACACCACTAAGTATTCCTAGAATCTCAACTCAAGCCTGTGAGATCAATGGCTATTACATCCCCAAGAACACATGGCTCAGTGTGAACATATATGCTATAGGACGAGACCCTAATGTGTGGGACGATCCATTGGAATTCAAACCAGAGAGGTTTATGATGAGTTCTGATGGGAAGATTAATGAAAAGATGAAAATGAGCCTAAGTGGTACAGTTGATTTTGAGTTGATTCCTTTTGGAGGAGGCAGGAGGGTGTGTGCTGGGTATAGAATGGCTATGGTGGTGGTTCAGCTGATTCTGGGAACTCTGGTTCACTCTTTTGATTGGAAATTGCCTGATGAAGAAGAAGATGGGTTGAACATGGAAGAGGTCTTTGGTATTACTGTTCATAAGGCTGTGCCTCTTTCTGCTATGGTTAGCCCTAGGTTGTTGCCACATGCTTATAAGTGATCTGTGCTAGTACATGCATGTATGGCTTGTGTGTTGTGGGTGTGTTTCTAAGTTTATCTTTACTGTGGATCCTTAATATTCTCCTGTCATGATCAATATATATATCAGGTGTTTTCCTTCAAATTTTATATATGGTCATTAGATTCATTCTACTTCTTCAAATTAAGATCACTCTAGAAATTATATATATACTTTTCAATTTGGGAATTCCTCACAGCTGTAAGTAAGGTGAAGGTAGAACAATGTATATGAGTAGGTCATATGACATCGCTTAAATAACTTGGTATGTTAATTAGAGTTGAGTTGAAAAAACATTGACCCAACTAAAAATATTTTTTTAAAAACCAAATGTGATAGCTATTGTGAATTAGAAGTGACTTACTTAACCCATATTAAAAAAATTATATAGAGAAGGAGGAAAGATTTTAAGTTTCTAACATTACTTACTAAAAAAGAAAAATTGAAAAATAAGAATACAAAAATAGAACCCAACCTAGATCTCTAAGTTGTATCCAACCTCCTCATCCTTTTTGTGTTTGACTTTTGTGCTCTCTTTTCCTCTAATAAGAGTATAAGACAACTTGATGTAAGACAACTTGATATCATATGACATTACTTTCTTTTCAAAAAGCTAACTTCATTATATGTGCAATGCATCTATTTATATATTCAGGACCTTCTTCAAATTCTTCTAATGTGGGATGTAACAGTTCTTATGATCAATCCATGACACTTCCAATCATGGATGGCCAACCAAAAGGGCCCAATAATTGAGTGAATTTAGGTCCAGCTTTGATATCATTCTAGCTTTTTGGAGAGATAGTAATGACCCCATGACTTACCTCTAACTTATCAATTTTTATAGGCATGACATGACTCGTGTGCTTTTTTTAGAGGGAATAATGTAGTGGATCATGAATTATGATGACAAATTGAGAATCATGTTTATGTTATATTTTGATTTTTGTCTTATAACATAAATAACTATGTTATGATGTGAATTTTAAATTGTATGAAATATTGACATATATTTTTAAGTGTAATTTTTTTTGAATTTTTCAAAAGGAAAAATTTAATTATATTGGATTAGTAAGTTGACTCATTTAACCTATTAATCCACATAATTTGAGTTAGATTGGAATTTTCTTAACTTGTGAAAATGGGTTGAATTTAATCTAACTTATTTTATTTCTAATTTATGTGGACCAACTCATATGGTAAGTAGTTTGATTCTCATATAGATCAAATTGACTGGCCCCATTCGATTGTCACAATACTATTAAGAAGCATTACAAATGCATGTTTTTTTTTTTTTGAAGGGATCAAATTAAATACACACAACTCATACTAGACGTCAAAGCAGGGCTTGAAGGTCCTCACACTCGTAGGGAGATAAGGTGGCATTACTGTTGAGACAACTTGCCATTGGCATTCATTTTTTTTTTTTCAGTTAACTTAAAGTATGCCAAGTAGTTTGTGTTAGAATATTATTTATGAATTAGCATTAATTAATAAGCCCAATAAATTGGTCCTTATAATCTTATGTGGACCGTGATAGGTGGACCACACAAGTGAGCCCAATGGGCAGAGGCCCAACCCACAACCCAATAGCCGTCAGTTATTTCTTATCTCTTAACTGACTGAGTCAGAGATAATAGATAATATAATTATTAAATTTTTTAATAAGACGGTTACCGATCTGATCTATATAAGACGATTAGTCGGTAACCACAAACACACGACTCATTTTCTTCTACTTCCATTATCTCTGAACTCTCTGAAGGCTCTGGGGACTTGAGGGTTGTGTACCTGCCTGCACTCGAGGTAATCGAGATTTCTCTAGCACTCATGAATTCTTCAGGTACACATGAATTACTTTATTCTATCATATTATTATTATATATGTGAATTGAGATATCAGATTCAACACGTGGTATCAACTTTCAACGTTATTTTTCCAATCTTGGTTTTCAATAATGTATACAATATTGTGCTTTATCTTTCTTTGCATTTTCTACATTATCTTCAATGAATCATGTGTTGAAATTTTCACTAATTAATTATATAATTAAAATAAAAATAAATTCCATCTGAAATCTCTCTTTTAAATTTTTTATCACTTTTTTCACGTGCATAAATGTAAAAAAATCTAATTCAACTTATATGGGACTTAAATGATTTGTCGTGAATCTTAGCTAGCCTTTAGAAACCAAAAACTAAATTGTTAGATTACAGAATGGTCCAACAATCAAAAGATGTGGTCCCAAACCCCAATTATCGCATCATATTTTATATTTAAAATTTTAGTATTATTTTCATTCATTTTATTATATTATATTATTATTTGATTCTTTTTAAGACTCGTGATAGAATGTGCCAATTTATTTGTCAAATTATAGTTACTATGCATAGTAATTTAGATAAGAGAAATCTATTTTTTATTCTCAATATTTTAAGAAAAATATTTTTTATGGTCACCAGAGCCTCGTTCAACCTATTCTTTGCTTATGTATAAAAAAAAAAAAGGTGCTAAATTTTATTTTTCACATGCGGCAGTCAATGAATTTTGGATGTAAACCGGTGTCAAATAATTAAAAAGATAATAATAATCAATATATTTTATGAAAATAAAATAATTTATACGTTTTATTATAGTGCTATCTTTTTAATAGAAAGGGAGGAGGGCGAATAAATCTCTCCAAATTAGAGAAATGAAAATTTAATCTAGTAAAATATGATAATACCTCTTAAGGCTCAAGGGACCTTTGTCATTAAAATTTTTGATCAAATGATAAAAATATCCCTTAATTTAAAAAAGTGCAATAATTTTTTTTTCTAACTTTTGCTTTGGATTCACAACTCTAGTTTAATAAATGATTAAGGTGATTTATGTATTTACAATTTTCTTTTATTATTTTTCTTCAATCAGAAAATTGCAACAATTTTTTTCATTCAAAATTTTAGTTTTGGAATTCACAAGATTGGTTTAATAAATGATTTTTTGATTGTGGCATTCATGATTTTCTCTCACCATTTTTTACTTTTTTAAATTAAGAAGTATTTTTATCATTTGATCAAAAATTTTAACGGCAATTAAATTTTTTAAAACTTGAAAGGCATTTTCATATTTTGTAGGACCATCTTATTGTTTTTTTTATTTTAGAGAGATTTATTTATCATTCTTCCTAATGAAAAAACCTTAACATTTTTTTTATGGATGATTAAAATTACTCAAATTCTTATATAATTACTTAAATAGATAAATTCCAACCTAAATCCAACAAATATTCAAATAATATTTTCTCTACGCCGTAGAAACTTTTGGCACCAAGATAATAATAATAATAACAGTAGCAAATTTGTAACAGCACTGCGTCCTCACCCCACCCCACCGGAGGTCTTTTGGACTAGACTCACCCCGCCTTCCCGAGGTCTGTTGTCCATGCTGGGCCAGTTCCCCTCACGAGGCCCAAACCGGCATTCAGTACTGGTGGTACAGTGCCTATTCCTCACCTCACTCAAGAGGTCTTTTGGAACCTTCTCAGATTTGATCCCGCAACCACTACCACCTTAGCGTAGTTCAGGCTGAATTTGGTACCGTTGAGTCACTTTAAATGACTCTTCTTGTTGATTGTTGGCTTCTAAATTCACTTCCCCTTGCTTCTCCTCAGGGTTACCAGTAGCGTTCACAATGACTTTGCTATTTCCCTCAGCAGCCTTCCCTAATATAACTTGGTCATAAACATCCATCCTCTTCTGGATGTCCATCAATATTGAAGTAAGGAGGGCTACATTGTTGTTATTACCAGTCGCAGGAATAGCTTGAACTGGAGCTTGTGTAAAAGGTCCTGCTTGAGTCAAGACTTGAACTTGCTCAGTCGGGTTTAGTAACTCTGGCACTACCTATCCTTGTTGGACTTAAGCCAATACTGTTTCATCTTCCACCACCATTTGATCCTCTAGTCTTGGCGGAATTGTCGAATTATTAGCGGCAGTGTTCCTAGTTAGCACCATATTCTCCCCTTCTAAGGATGGAAGTAATACCACAAATGAAAAACAGTTAGTGCTAGCTCACAGAGGAAAAGAATATGTGTATAATGATAATTGCCAATTCTATATGCAAATGCAAGTACAACATAGTACATAATCATATAACAAGTCACACACAAACCACAGTCCAGTTCTCAAAACTCAAGAACCTGATACCAATTTGTAAAGGGCGTCTTAAATTATGACTTAATCATCATACTAACTATAGTTAATCAAGAACTAACCCAAATGGATTGTCCATTACGAGATTAACCTAAATGAATTCTTAACATGTATTTTTCACAAACTATTTAATATAAAGGGATCCTAAGTCTTTAAAATATTTTAAGAACTCATATCATTTAATTAAACATATGCAGAAGCATGATAATAACTCTTTTTACTTGCACAAATATTTTGGCCCATTACTATAACACAAACATCAAAACACATTCTCAAGAGCCCAAAATGTCTTTCTATCCAACACAAAACCCATAGTGCAAGTGGATCAAGAATATATTATCCTAATTGGCAATATCATAAACTAAATACACATATCAACATAAAAGGAGAGAGGCCTACAGAAGTGATTATTATCACTTGGCCTAATGCTCCTTTCCTCTGTTCTTCTCAGATGAGCTAGCTCCTGTAATATGTTGAAAGAGAGGGATGAGTACAACCACTCAATAACCAAGGTACATCTAAGTTATACAAATGCATGATAATTAATCATGAATGCAAGTGGCCAATAAATTAATTAAGGTGACCATTCAAACAATCACATTAATAACATGTTAATCACATTAACATTTAACTCATGTGAATAATTTCAAGAATAAAGTCAAGTACAAAATTTGTACAAATAACCACATATACATTATTCGCATAATTTCTACATGTTCTCATTTCTACAATTATAATCATATTCTCAATATAGCCATTAATCACTCAAATGGCATGATAATAATAATATGCATGATCGATCTCTTTCTTATATCCCCCTTTATTCCTCTGACATGAAATCCGTAAGCCAACAACCGAAAGGGATCGTCCATGTGGTGAGACTACCCAAGGCCTTAATCATATCATGAGGGGCTAC